GCTCGACCCGAAGTGGCCTGAATGACACACAGGTATGCACTCATGGGCGGCGATTGGCGGGCCGATGTGTCTGTTGTACCGTTGCGGTCGCCTCCGTTGCGCGACGTGTCCAGACGCGTGCGCTTGAAGGTATCCCCTGACAAAAGCAAACACATGCCGGCGTGCATGGCCTTTCGTGAGTGAGCTCGATTATCTTGCTCACTTCGCTTGGGAGGTGCCTTGGGGAACGGGAACCCTACCCCGATCTCGGAGGCGGACTGCCAGTGAGTGCCTGCCCTATCATGTTGACGCGCTCTTTAGCCCACTGCTCGCTTCCTGCATGGACACGTCCACAGACAAGCGAGGCGTGTCCGCCTCCCTCCCTGACACCACTCACTCTCTCTCTCTCTCTCTGTGTATCTCTTGTGCTGTGCGCACCTTCGGTGCCCCGTTGAGTGAGGGCATCGGCTCGTCGCTACGAGCCCCAACCCCTCTTGTGCGGTGTCCGTCGCGTCACCATCGCCGTCCTCTCCCGCGGCAGGCTGCTCCTGCGCCTCTACAGGTGGTGTCATCACCTGCATGACACACAAGTAAGGCACACATCAATGAGCTGGACTGAGTCTGTCCGATGTCTCGACAAGGATGACCCCCTCATCCGCCCCGTGCCCAACAACATACAGTGGGCCTCGGATAAATGGGACACGGCCCAGGGTGTCCCATATAACGAGTTTCCCATATATCCGAGGTCCCATTTATGCGAGGCAATTCACACGCCTTCTGCTTGTCCGTCTGAGTCACCAGTGCATCGCAGCAGGCCACCTGACTCGCCTGGCGTCAAGCTTGGCCCGGAAAAAGAAAAAAAAGCAACCCGGCCGGCGGCGTGGATGAGGAGAGCGAGCAGAGCAAGTGCTTGAGCGTTGCTTGGGCGAGACAGACAAGCAGGAGTGATTCACTGGAGAATGAATGATGGAATGCGACGAGCAATCGACAGATTGAGTGATGGAATGTCCAAAAACACACATGGATCATGCAGAGACAGTCACTCACCACATCACACCTCTCACCTGCTTACCACTATCCTCCTCTGCCATAGCCTGCATAGCCTGCCTCGCTCCCCCTCACTCACGAATGATAAATGATTCACTCATTCTCCTCAAAATCACTCAAATCACTCAATGAATGATTCGCCGTCGAAAGCTTGAAGGTGGAACAACGTGGAGAAGAAGCTCATGGCTGAGCAGAGGGGAGACAGACGGTGCGATAATAACGTCTACGGGTTCTCGAGAGAGGCGGAGCACAGCAAACTGAGCGGGTCAGTTTTTCCGCCACTTTATGGACATTTCGCGAAATTTGCTGAGGCACTTTGAGGGATGGTAGCGGGCACAGAAACGTCCATCCAGACATGCAGAATGACCACCATTCACGTGAAATCACGATTGTTCGCCAGTGCAAAGTTTTCGACATGTACGGAGACCGGGAAGGAAGGACAAAAAGGGGATAAGTGCACTACTCTTGCCCAGCGCCAAAGCGACAAAATCATCGATGGTGACAGACACACACAAATGGATGGATGGATGGATGGATTGATGGATGGATGGATGCATTGATGGACTGATGTGTCTCGCCCTGAGAACTGATGTGTCTCGCCCTCTGAGAACTGATGTGTCTCGCCCTCTGAGAGACACATCAGAGGGAGGGACCGAGGGCGAGGGCGAGACACATCAGAGGGAGGGACCAAGGCGTGCAGCAGACACACACAAAGTTGAGGTCGTTCTGCTTGATGAGCGGCTCATGTCCATTCACCATGCCTCGGCGTGCCTGTGTCTCGTCCGTGTTGTCGTGTGTGGGGGTGTGCGGGTGGGTGGGTGGGTGGGCGTCTGGCGTCAGGTTGATCTTGACGATGCAGGCCAGGTCGAGGTAGTTGGATCGTTGGCAGTGGACGTGTGTCTGACCTGCGATGAGGGTCAGGTCAGCACCAAACACTGCACCACAGGGCAGGCAATGTAAATAAGAATGTGGTGAGCATCGCACAAGCATTCGTCTTATCGACTGACCTCAGCTCATCTCGGCCCCTGTTGTTGCCTATCCACTGCCGCAGACGGTCTCTGTGGTTCACGTGTTGCAGTGCTGCTTAGTGTACCTCGCAGGATTCTGGACTGCCCCTCCTCCGGAGGAGAGAGGGAAGAGACAGCTCGCTCAGGAGAGCGGACGAGACACAATCACACGCAGCCTGAAGTAAGTGAAGGACATCGACACACGCAGCAAAGTGCCGCTTCCATGGGTATGTCCTCGTCAGATGCCTGTGGGTACCTGCTCCTCGTCAGATGGATGCGGGTGCGATGCGGCTCGCCTGGAGGACACTTGGGCAGCTTGTTGGCGTCAGGCGGAGCAACCTCTGAGTGAAGGAAAGGGAGAAGTAAACATATCATTCATTTTTATTCATTCATATTCAGTCATTCATTCATCCGTTCATCCATCTCGCCGGGTGCTTCCTCCTCCTCGATGGGCGGCTCGTCCTCATCAACAGCCAGTGGGTTGACATTCAGTGGCGAAAGGCTGCCCCTCCCTCGCCGTGCCTGCTGGCGGCCGCCGCCCTCCTCCATATCATCATCATGCTGGGCGTGCTAGTTGGGCACGTCGGCGTCGACAATGATCATCAGTATAAGAACCAAACACAGCACCGACACGACGATGTGTGCTCTGCTTCAGACAACTCGTCGTCATGGTCGTCCACCGCACGCTCCGAGTGACGGTCCTGATCAAGTTGCA